CTGGTCGTAACCCGAAAAGTTCATTAGTAGAGGCGTTCGTATCCCGAGGTACCACTGTATACAGCTGCCCATCTCACAAGCGTGACTCTGGGCGGGATACAATAAACAACCAACTGAAACGACAGTGAAAAACGATTAAACACAAGTCTAAATAAAATCACAGGAGGACCGGCCAGCATCCTACAAACAGGGTAACCATCTTGCGGGCTCCCCATTTCTCTGGTATCCCCAAGTTTGTTGAAAAAAATATGTTTTCGGGGATTTACTAAATGCCAGTAAAGTCAATTCTAATATAACCTGGGGGTGGGGAGGGGGAATGATGTTCCAAACAGCAGGTGCTCTTTAAATCAGTAAAACATATAAAGATAAAAGATGGCAAGTGCCATGAAGAAAGGGTTCACTTTCCCTCATCAAAGGCCTGGGTGAAAAGCCAGGTCTTCGTGGTCATCTCAGGCTTTTTCCCTGCCAAAGAGTTAGGGGCATTGATGGATGGTTGACAGTTACCTCTCTGAATGTGTCATCATCACGAGGATATCACACCAAATCAATTGTGTCCATGGTGGGCAAAATTTTTTTAGACGTGAGATTTTAACACTAATGGCAGGCAAAAAAAAGGAACAAAGGCCTTTTTTTTTGGCTTGGTAAAGATCTTTGCACTTCTTTCAGTTTACTCTACTACTTGCAATGCATTTCTTCAATCAGATACCATTTTTTAATTTCATTTCTAAGGTTCCAAGCTTTCCCATCTAATTTTGTATCATCTCCAAAATGGAGAAGCATTTTCTCCGGCCTGTCATTCAAGCCATTGTGATTATTGACAGCATTGAAGAGTAAAGGACCCAGATTCATTCTCTTGATACTTCCAGTTTCATGAGGAATCATGGATGGTGTTGGAGGGTGGGTCAAGATAGAGGATTCTCCTTGTGTTGGTACCATGACCTCTTTTCCAGCAACCAACCTTCCACAAATTCCTTCCTTCTTCGCACTGAGGAGTCTCTTTTTCTCACTTACGTCAAAGTGTTATCATCTAGATTCACTTCCTATCCAGCCGCTGCCACCATGTGTCAGAGGTTGAGTCAAGATGGGAGCTGGTACAGGCATGTACATAACCAGTACTTAAACAAATGAGGGACTTCATTCTGGACACTAAAATACTTAAGCTATTAAAGTAGTATGAGCTAATACTATATACAAGTGACAATATAATTTACGAAGATTATATTGTACAGAACAGTATATATAAACATATAAGAAATAACCTACTTAATTTTCTCCCTCTCAACTCTTTTTCCCTCCCTTTCCACTTGTGCTTTATTTCAGCTTCTTTATTCTCTCCTTATTTGGAATGTGAGTTTTCTCCCGGGTTTCTTGCTGTCAAACTCAAGAGCCAGATCTTTAACTCATGAAGTTTCACTGTCCAGGATCTGAATCTTCTTAGTTCATTCTCCTGGTCTTTCACATTTTCACAAGCCTATCTGGGATGTTCCTCCTGGTCTCACTCATCTCAGGGCTGGAGTCTCTGGACTTGACCTGCTCCACTCCACTCCACATATACCAGGTGACATCCTTTCCAGCAGCATGTCTTGTAGCATCTGAAAAACAAAACCCCTCTTTCTCTGCTTTTCCTGGCTCTTTTTATGTTCTGTACCAAGTCCATATACATGCCTCTGTAAAGGTGCCTTCCTGTAATGGAATGGAATTATGAAGGCCAGGCTCAGGGAGATAAACATTTTCTTAGCTTGCCGGAGGAGCGTGGGAGCTACAAGACGATGAGACTGTCACCTCCCT